TATTTAATATTTAGTGTGTGGTTTTCAGGATTTTAGCATGACTAAAGACTAATGGCTCATACTAACTTGTTAAACCTGCACATATTTAAATTATTCACTGTAATGAGCACCAGACTACGGCCCTGGATCGGCCCTCTGCTTCATCTGTGTTTAGATATGTGGCCCTTGATGAAAAAAGTTTGGGCACCCCTGTAATAGCCTCATGAGAATTTAACAGAACACTGTAGTTGCGTTTGAAAGAGATACTAAAATTCCATGACTTTTCCAAAACATTCATTGAATTTACAAAATCCCATGACTTTTCCAGGTCTGGGAAATAACATTTTTAATTTCCTTGACTTTTCCAGGACTTCCATGACCGTGGGAACCCTGTTTTTTAGTACCACAATAATATGACTGGTTACATTTGAAAATTGAGTGATAAGATTACAGTTTCTTGCCCTAGTTACTTTTAGTGTTTAGTTTTCCCAGCCCAATAAGTGTAATTTACAGAACTGATGAACAGGTAGCACTGGATATCTCTTCTGTTGTCAGACACAGATCGGCTGTGAACCAAAACTAAACAAATATTGATTTATGAAGGACTGTTACTTTAAGAAGGAGCAGTCAGATTAGTTTTGCAAAGGATTATGAGCAACAATTACTACTTCTATTACACAGAAAATCTTTGTGTTTTGTCTTAGACTGTATTTGTTATACCTGGAGCCACTGCTTTACAACTAATAGTAGGCAAACAACAACTTAATTTCATGCAACAAATTAGGAGAATTGGGATTAAAGTATATACAAATATTTTAAAAAGATCACATTTTCAAGAGATGTATTTGCAGATCATAAGCAGACCCAGGAACGCAGCATCACCTGTCCGCTATTTTGAATCCCCTATAGATACATCACTCTCCCATTTCTCACTTTCTCTGACTGGCACCATCCGTACAATGCATGCCAGCGGGTATTCAGGTTACGATCCAGCCGGTGATTGTCAAGAAAAAAAAAAAAAAAAGGGAAAAATCTGCTCTCCCTTGTGTCAGTATCAATGTGTCATCCTGTTGTTTTCACCTGCGTGTGAGTGCGCTCATCTGTCAGGCCTGTCCCCAAATCGTCAGTGAGGAGCAGTGAATGGGTCATTATATGGAGTCGCCGCGGTAACACGAGTCTCAGATCAAAACAGAGGGAGGGCGGGCGAGCTGTTCCGATGCTGAAATGTCACTCATCCTGCTTTGCATTTCGCGCCTGTCGCCATTGCATAATATGTACCAATGTGAGCTGTGATTCTTTAGCTTAAAAAGGCTGGAAGAAATGAAGCCTGATTGGGACGTGTTTTTGGTACAGATGGGTGAAGTTGACAGAGGAATTTTTGGCAGAGTACAGTTATTTTAAAGCTGCACTGTAACTTTCTGGGGGATGGAATGCCACATGAACCGTTACCTAATGCCTCCGCTCAATTTCATTTCTCTCCAGCGACTAGGGCTACGTTCAGACTGCAGGGCTTAACACTCAATTTGGATTTTTTTGTGAAATCTGGTGTTTTTGCGAGGTCGGTCACATTTCCAATTAAATGCGACTTGCATGTGATCTCCAGTGTGAACATTAAACGGCCCGAAAGTGTCCCACATGCGTAATGGAGACACGACGACGTCAACTGCAGTGAGCGTGCTCTGTGTTTACGGAAGTTGTCCAAACATGGACGCGAACATTGAGCACCTGGAGATTTTAAAGTTCCTCTCGTACCGGAGCCAGAACATGAACAACTTACTTGTTTTAAAGATTAGATCGAGAAGGAGAAGGACGAGGTTTTTGGCCGTGGTGTTTTGTGGGGCAGCGGCAGCGACGTCCGTTGAAAGGAACATGTGGATGTGGAGACGTAGCCAAGAGTGGTGAGTGGTGATGTGCTTCACTTCAGTGACACGGAGTTCATTAACAATTTTCGCCTACTTCAGAGCAGAATAGTGACGTTTGTGGCTTGTTGATAACGTGTAGGTTGGATGAATGCGCTTTGGCCGTTCAGACTGAAGTCACATGTCAAAAGATCAGATATGTATCGGTTTCAGGACCACATATCCAAGTGGCCTGGGTCGCATTTAAAAAAAATCGGATCTGTGTCATTCAGACTGTCATTAAAAGATCAGATACAGGTCACATAGAGGCCAAAAAATCAGATTTGAATCACTTCAGGCTGCAGTCTGAACGTAGCCTAGGTCGGGAATCGGAATACACTAGACGGTTTGCAAGAATCCCGGTAGTTGTAGATCGCGCATCGGCCAATCAGTGAAGAGCTGTGAAGCCATGACGTCAAACTCAAGCACCTGTCTGGTTCCTTTTGTGGTACAGCACAACAGTAAACAAAGCGGTCGAGATGAATGTAGAGGAAGACATACATTCTGTGTTGGCAACGATTCCTGAGAACAAGGATTTGTATTTGTATTTGTTTATTTATTTCATTCATAAAGTATAAAAAGATATTGAGAGAGTCACAACATCAGACATACAAGAAATGAATGAAAAGGAGCAGAAAGAAGAACAAATCTTATGTTATCTGCCCCAATTTCCCTTTTCAAGACAATACATTAACACCGATGGTCACTAAACATTCCAAATCAGTTCAGGCACAATTACTGATCAATTGCAAACAGTAATCTTCACTTTTATGCACAACAACTTAGTTTTCTTTTTCATACATACACACTGCATTTGATTTTATGTATTTTTTAATCATCATCACCATCATTGTACTTGATTCTTTTATTTCTTTGTCAAGACTATTCCATAAGTTAACTTCTTTCACAGCGATGCTTCTCGCCATAACCTTGGTTCTGAATCTAGGTTTTTTTTTTAAACATGTAGGTTCCTTTAGATTGTAGTGGCTCGTTCTCATCTCAAACAATCTTTGAATATTTACAGGTAACACATTGCTCTTTGCTTTATACATGACTTTGAGGATACTGAAGTCAACAATATCATGCATCTTCAACACTTTAAGTTGAACAAATTCACAATTTAAAGCCGGAACATTTTTATCAAGGGGAAAGATGTTATTGCAATTCTTCCTACGGAATTTAGAGCATTACAAACGTCACGACCAAACAGCAGCGATTGGTTAAATTAAAGAAGTACCCGCCTACCTTCAGGTGAACGAATTCTAACGCTGTGAGGTCAGACGGTTTCAACGAAGTGAAACCATCTGGTGAATCAGGCTAATGTCACATGCTTGTCTCCCTGGAAATTAGGAATGCACCAACCCAGCATTTTCAGTCCTGATACTGATTCTGTTACTAGAGCTTTAAGTATATTTATATATCAGTGCAGAGAAGAAGTATTCATTTCTAGGGATGCGATAAGATCTCGCGCCTCAAGATCTTACGAGACAAAATTGCCACACACGCTGAAAATGATCCTGTGAGATATTTTTCCATCTTTTTGCATTTGGATTGGATAGAAAAATGGAGTTAAGTAGTGGTGACTTACATTTTTTGAGAATCTATAGTCCCAAAAAGCAGAGCTACAATGACAGCAAAGTAAATCAAACATGGTGAGGGCAAGATTGAGAACTGGATTGCGCAGTTTATGTATTAAATTGTCAAAATCTCGTCTCGTCTCGTAGATCCAATCTTATGTCTTGTATTGTGGAAATTGTCTCTTGTCCCACGCCTATTTACTTCCGAAAATAAAGACAAAACGGATCCAATTTATTTATTATAAAGAATGTCAAAATCTCGTCTTGTCTCGTTCTCGTAGATCCAATCTCGTGTCTCGTCTCGTATTGTGGAAATTGTCTCTCGTCCCACGCCTGTTTATTTCCAAAAATAAAGACAAATCTGATGCAAATGTGTCGTGAAGCTGTTATTTATTTCTTAAGCTACAACACAACAACTCTGTAGAAATAAAAGTTCAAACATTACAAGACTTTTTGGACCGACTATGACCGTTAATAGTCCAATCCAATCCAACTTTATTTGTATAGCACAATTTACCAGCACAAAGCTTCTAAAATCATAAAAAAAAATACAAAAATTGGCAAATAAAATCAATAGAAGACAGGCACAATTCTCATGCCGTGTTAAAACCCAGTGAGTAAAAGTGTGGTTTTAAACAAGGCTTAAAAGCATCGACTGAAGTGGGAGGGAGAGCGTTCCACAAGTTTGGGACCGACCACAGAAAAGGCTCGGTCGCATTACATCGATTGATATGTCCAACCAGGATATCTGCAAAACCGATATTTGGAAACCGATATCCAATCCAGCGCCGTTTTACGCTCAGAAGTACAATTTGTTCAGAAAGTTCCTGACAGCATAGTGCATAGAGCAGTATAGTGAGTAATTGTACCTGATTTGTACCCACTTCTGCTGTTTTTGATCTGTTTTTATGAGTTTCTGTTCAAATCGAACACATGGACTTGACAGATGTGAGTGGATCGTTCTCGGCTCCATAGTTAAAGAGCATCAGATTGTCTTGACAGAATCCCCACAGGTCACGAATTAATGTGACGGTGAAACAGCTCCTCTCTTGTTTCTGCTGCTCAGACACAGACGTGGGATGTAAGCGCGGGAAAATGTTTTTGTCAAGGATGTTTCTTAGAGGCTTAAAGGTGCATTGTGTAACTTTTGTGGTGGAGGGTTCGTCAGATGCTTTTTTCCGTGGAGATGTTATTGCTTTGTCTGGAATGTTTCACAGTACGGCGTTAAACGTTTCTATCTACATGGAGACCAAGACTACGTTTACACTGAAACGAATCACCGTGTCGGAAACGATTTGCATCCAGACACGTCGTTTCTGTGTCCGCAATCAAAGCCTTCCCTATCCACACAGCTTTGAGCATATTTGTTTACGTTTTACAGAACCGAAACTTAAAACCACATGGCTAATTTGCATAAACTAAGAACTCAAAAAAACAGTTCGCTATTGTGCGCTGATGCGGTTCAGCTTCTGCTGGACTAAAGGACACGACTCAGTGGAATATGAGTGTTCTTTCTTTCTTGTTTTTTTTCTTTTTATACATTTTACTTCAAAAACAAAGGCATATTACATTATCTGGATTATACACATCAGATTTCAGAGAATTTCAGACAAATTAAGAATCAGTATTGAAGCCAGTGGTGTCCTGCATGGTCGGCTTCAGTGATGCAGTGGTGCCACAGTAGAGATCCTCAAGCAGTTGACTTCAGTTCCCCAAACCCTTCACATCTTATTCATCCTTTTTAAATTTACCACTGATGTAAGGAACATAGTCCAGTATAAATCGCCAGTCGGTGAAGTGGATGAGTGCTACATTTCCCGCTGTGCCCCACACTGCCATAGCTGGAACCCACGATTTGGCAATGGAAACATATTTCGAACCCAAAACTTTACTAAGCATTTTAGACGAGTGGAACAGCTGATGCACTGGCAAGAAGAAAAAAAACAAACGAACAAAAAAAAAAAAACGAGTGTTCTTTCTGTGACAGAGGGGTGTTCTGCTGATGGTGAGTCTGTTCTGTTCTTTCTATCGTGTTGGAGATGATTCGTGTTAAACTTTTCAGAGAATATACGTCTGCAGGTCGTACGCACAGACTGTATATATGAATGGACATATTTTCTAGCCTCTTAGCGTTTTGGAGGTGAATTACTTCCCGGCACATAGACGTACATCAGCGTTTTCAGGCGTCCACACAGTCCTGGATCAGATCTGTACTCAGATTAATTTGTAGGAGCTGGCGGCACCAGATCATTCCGTCTCTGGAGCCATTTTCCATCGGATTAGTGTGAACGAACACTGCATCCACAACGAAAACAGCTCAAATACGAACTAGTGTGGACGGGCCTAAGCCAGACCAAGTTACAGGTCAGATCAGTGGAGAGGCAGCTTTGAGCTATAAAACCATCTGTAACTGAATAAATGTAAGGCAGAGTTTAGTGAGTATGGCCATCAATATTATCGTGACATCTCCTCTTAAATAAAAATATATTACCCACTATTTTACATTTAGACAGAATATGATATTTGTTGAAGTATAAACTACTGTCATTTAAGAAAGTGTGACAACCTTTTATTGATTTTTTACAATCTGTAACTGTGAGTAACATCTCCAAATTCACTTCAGATATATGTATCTCCGCAGGCTGTTGTTTCTTTTCAGTTTTGCGAGATTTATTTTTATTTTTAAGTTTTATATACTAAAAGAATGAGAACATCGCACGTCAATTACTAGAGACGGGTGCGTCGGAGGAGAGGGAGCAGCCCAAGAACATAGAGAAAAATCCCGCACACAGTCTTACTTGCAAATTGTGAAATTTATTAGGACAATACCGTGCAACGTTTCGGCAATAGCGCTCGATTACTTTTTAGTATAGAAAAAGTAATCGAGCGCTATTGATCTTGTACAGTTTGAGTTGTAATCTGTTTTTGGTTCAATAAAAATGTTATGACTAAAAATATATTACCCACAAGACTCACTTTTATTTATTTTTTTATTTATGTTATTGTTCTATTTATTTTTTATTTATTGCTATTCTATTCTTTAAGATTAGTATGATTAAATCTAAGCGTTTGTTTTATCATTATATTATTATTGTTTATTATTATTATAAGTTAAGTGGATTATTTAAAGGGATGTAACGATATCCAAATCTCTCGTTACGATATGCATCTCACGGTACGATATTTATTGCATATAATTGTAGATAGAACACTTTTTTGCTTTTAAAGTACCTTGACAAGATTTTGGTGTGAATTATTTCCGTCATAATCCAAAGAATTCAAGTAAAAAACATATTTCTTCATGTTGTTTGCACTGAAATGAATCATGGGATATGTAGTTTCCGATGTTCATAAGCTGTTGCTACTATAAAACCATGTATTTAAGCAAAGGAACTTGTAATTCGATATATTGTGACAGTCCACGATTTTAATGTGACACTTTTGACAATACAATATCACAATATTTTGGTTATTGGATTGGATATCACATCTTTTACCTGAAATAAGTTGTCACTCCTCTGTGTTTTTTTTCCCTCCTTTTTTACTTCCAAACCGTCATATTTGTTTACACCAGGACAGCTCCCCTCTGATACTGTTGTCGTGTCCTTGAGCGAGACTTCACACTTCACCCACCTTCCCTCCAGTGGACATGTACACTGCTGTATAAATAAGAGCGTGTTTGTGGGAGTGAATGCAGGACAGCAACAGGAAATTAATGTCTACAATCCATCATGTTTATGTTCATTAATGTGCAAAGTCTGGATAGAAGACAGGAAATGTAGGAAGTGTTTTTAAACTCACTACAACACTACATCACGAGGATCTTTTAGATAATTTTAGTGCTGAAATTGCCAGTCTCTGCTGAACAAAAGGTAAACGGTAGCTGTTAACTTCGACACTACCGCTTCATGAGATCACAAGGTGGAACAGAGCATTTTGAGCTTTGGAGATGTAGACAGACTAATAACAAAGGATTACTCAGACATGTGAATGAAACAAAACACAACTCCAGGTCTGTTTTTGATGAGGTAACAGCATTATTAGCCAGGGTATTGCCATTTCTCTCCAGCGACTAGGTCAAGAATCAGAATACACTAGACATTTGCAAGAACCCCAGAAGTTGTAGACCGTGCAGCAGCCAGTCAGTGAAGAGCTGTGAAGCCATGACGTCAAACTCAAGCTCCTGTCTGTGTCCCTTTTGTGGTACAGCACAACAGTAAACAAAGCGATCGAAGCCGTACATTCTGTGTTGGCAACGGTTCCCGAGATCGAGGATTTAAAGCTGGTGTGAGACAGTATTTTGACCCCGGGGTCAACATACCGCTATATATAATCTTGTCACATTTTATATTGTATTTTACATTGTTATGGTTTTCAGTTTGCTATATTCAGATAATCCTTAATCATAATGTCAATTCAGGCAATGGTTTGTAAGGATAATGACCTTGAATTTAGTCATGTTGTGTTATAATAAACATATTGGGGGGTCAGATTACTATAGTCATAGGATTTTGACCTCCTTTATATATAATAGATCATTGTCAATATTCATCTAACTTTACTTCTTACTTTACATCATAATAACTATAATAAACATATTGGGGGGTCAGATTACTATAGTCATAGGTATCCCCTATTTAACTACTTAATTGATCACCCCTGTCTGTTTTAACAAGATTCTAAATCATTATACATTACTTTGATTACCTAACTAATTAATAACTTCTTATCTCATTTTCAGTAAAATGTGTTTAAACAACTAAGTCATTTTTAACATTCAAAAGTTTTAATTAACATAAAAAAAATGCATCGGAGTTCTTAAAAAAAAAAAAAAAAAACACTTTTAAATATGTCAATATGTTTTCATTTGCAGATATCGTATTACCATTAATATTCATACTAATAATAAGTTTTTCTATAGAATTCAAATTCTTTATTAATAAAATATAGATTTTCATAGGGGGTCAGTATTCTATGGGGGGGTCAACATACCATAATAGTATTCTGACTCCGGGGTCAAAATACTATATGGTATGTTGATCCCAGCGTCACCTCACCGCGGGGTCACAATCCTATACCACACTGGAACAAAGAAAATATTATCAACAGGAAAGATGTTATTGCCCTTCTTCCTACGGGATTTGGCACATTACATACGTCACGACCAAATAGCAGCATTTGGTTAAATAAAAAAAGTACCTGCCTACTATCAAGCGAACAAATCCAAATGCTGCGAGGTCAAGCGGTTTCCACGAAGTGAAACCGTCTGATGAATCAGGCTACAACAGTATAACATGCCTTAAACTTTTCACCAAAGGTCCAATTTTGTCCTATATATTTCTGTATCACACTTAGTTTTAACTTTGATTTTGTATCTGTGTTTAGATTTTTTTTTGACAGCCTTATCTCAGTCTGCTTCCCTCTCATGTTAAGTGCAGTTGATCTGTTGCGATGGTCGGATGTGGTCACAAAGTGTTGTCTAATATGCAGCATTTGCACTTCTGTCTGTGAAGTAGCTCCAGGCTTCTCCTAATGCATCAGTGAATGTGTGACCATTACACATAAGCACAGCTCCAGACAGACCTATTTATGTGTTACAGTGCGCTGTAGTTAGGCCTGTCACCATAATTACTATACCCACTTGTCCGTTCACTTTATTATAAATGAAACTGTAATTTTTGGAGGTCAACATTTATCATCTTTGTGCTAGTGGGACATTTTTGGTTATTTTTTCTGCAATATTCATCAAATTTTAGCTGTAGAAGACAGAATTACGAACTGAAATCACTCAAACTATCACTTTTCACTTGCTTGTCTCCATGGAGATGTTATTGTTGTGTCTGGAATGTCCCACTATGGCATTAAATAGATCCACTCAATAACATGTTTTTAATTGACCTAAAATCTTACATGTTTACTGTGAATGGGCTCGCCTCTCCACAGATCTGATATGTAACTCGGCCTTGTGGTGTCACCTGTTGTCTCTGTAGAGATATACGAGTGTAATGCCATACTGTGGAACATTCCAGGAGAAAAGCAGGTAATGGAGACTCTACTAGAAAAGTTACACAGTGCACCTTTAAGTGTTACATACTGCTATTTATTTATACAGCTCAATAATATTTAACAATATTTTACATTTAAAATAGTTTTTTTGTGAATAATTCTACTTTTATGGTTTGGTTTCAGTATTATTGTTTATTGTCTATATTTATTTTAGTTTATTTGTTTATTTATCAGGGACAATAGACATAAAAACGTAACATGTTTAGTTAGTTTATTGATTTAATGAGACAGTACATGAGACTTTAAGCTTAACAGGAGAGATGCACGGTACCAGGATGTAGCACCAGTGTTGATTTGCACTTGTAGTCCCTGGGCAGGTTAATTAATTGATTGTATTTAATTGATCTTAGCTACCAGCTGTTCTTCCTGGAGACCTATGTAGCATGTTTTGGGTTGATGGGGGAAACCGGTAGTCAGGCTTACGCCACCTAGTGCCTCCACTCAGTTTCATTTCTCTCCAGCGACCAGGTTAGGAATTGGAATACAGTAGACGGTTTACAAAAACATCAGAAGTGTGAGTTTGGGCACCAGCCAATCAGCCAAGAGCCATATATTCTGTGTTGGCGACGATTCCCATGATCGAGCATTTAAAGCTGGAACAAAGAGAATGTTTGGTGAATTTTATCAAAGGGGAAGGACGTTATTGCCCTTCTTCCTACGAGATTTGGGAAACGTTTAATATACCAGTTAGCCCTGTTGGTGGTGCTTTATATGTCACGACCAAATAGCAACGATTGGTTAAATTTTAAAAAGTACCGTATTTTCCGGGCTATTAGGCGCACGCTTAAGCCTCCAACCACATCAAAAAACTACTGCGCTCCCCACAATCCAGAGCGCCCTATACACGAATCCACTCCGGTGTCCCAGCACGACTTCAGTAAACTACAAAGCTCTACCACCCGCAGCGCACGCAAACACACACGGAGCAGACAGCGACCGCGCAGCGAAACACACCCGCAGCCACACTCATCGCTCCACGCCGACGAGGAACGGAACGGAGGAACGAACTGAAAAAGCGAGTGCAATGTGCCACTTCTAGACACAACTGAACAACTGAGTCACTGCGAACACGCCGACAATCCAGAGGTCCCAGACAGCACCCTCCCTACACGCCACAACTGAACAAAGCCCAGAGTCACCGTGAACGCGACAAACAAAATCCGACTGACCCATCGAACAGTTGTGTTTCGTTGTTTTTTTGTGAAAAAAGTAAAAAAACAGACCATTGTATGACAGTGCGCCTTATAATCCAGAGCGCCTAATAGCCCGGAAAATACAGTATCTACCAGCCATTGAGCAAACAAATCCTAATGGTGCGAGGTCGGACGGTTTCCATGAAGTGAAACCGGTTGATGAATCAGGCTAGGAAACCAGAACACACGGAAGAAACCCATCCAGACTCGGGGAGAAACATGCAAACT